TTAAAGATGATTAAGGAATATAGAATCTAGTGTTGGGTATTCATTAAAATACCCAGTCCATAGTGAACCCAAGGATGTATTCGGTACTCTGTCAAAAGCTTCACAGGCAGGCTGGGGATGTGGCTCAGCGATGGAGCGCTTGCCTAGAATGTGTGAAGTTCTGAGTTTACTTTCCAGTACTGCTTAATTAATTAATTAATTAACTGAGTGTGGTAACGAAAGTCTTTTATCCCAGCACTTGAGAGGCAGAGTCAAGCAGCTTTCTGTGAGTTCAAGGCCAGCCTCGTCTACAGAGTGAGTTCCAGGACAGCCAGGGCTACAAAGAGAAACCCTGTCCGGAAAAAACAACAAACAAGCAAATAAGTACCCATTGCTGCTCTAAGACAGCGGGATTGAACACAAATATCAATCCTTGGCATGAGTGGAAGTCCATCAGTGTTTGTTCATGAGCAGAAGGGTTAGTATTAGTATGATGTGTACATCTGCAGGTAGCTTTCTTTGTAGACCGCCTCAGGTAGCCCAGGCTATCCTTGGTCCTCTTGGACAACTTAAGACCTTGGATTTTGGGCCCAGGAAGACGACACCTGGCTAAGGAGGAAAAGGTCGTTATTGCTTTGCATCCTCTTCGGTAGAGTCTTGCTCTGTGGTTGGCCTGGCTTGAAGCTCATGGAGATCCTGCTGCTTCCATCTTCCAAGTGTTGGGATGACAGGTGGGCTCCACCACACCTGGGTTTTGTTTCTGCTGTTGCTTGAGACAATACTCTGCTGGCTTAGAAACCCTACAATTCCTTTTGCTTCTACTTCTGATTGCTGGGACAACAGATATGTGACACCTAGCTTTAATGTAAAAGAAAAAAACCCAAACCACATTTATTTATTTATTTTGTGCATGTGTGGGTGCGTGTGACACAGCACAGGTGTGTAGATCAGCGGACAGTTTGCTGGAAATGGTTCGTACCTTCCACCGTGTGTGGGTCCTCAGATCCTCAGGCTTGGTGGCCAGAGCCTTTCTCTGATGAGCATATTTTTGTTTGTTTAGTGGGCTTTTAGCTTTATTTTTATTTTATATGCATGAATGTTTTACCATGTATGTTTGATGTCTGAGGAGGTCAGAAGAAGGTATCAGATCCCCTGGAACTGGAGTTACAAGTGTTCTAAGTGCTGGGATCTAGCCTGGATCCTCTGGAAGAACATCCTGTGCTCTTAATTTCAGAGTCATCTCTTCAGCCCTTGTTTGCTTTTTTTTTTGAGACAGGGTCTCTTGTAGACCAGGATGGCTTCACTATGGGGGAGAACTTAAATTCCTAAGCTTTGCTACTTCTACCTCCCAAGTGCTGGAATTATAAAGTACCAGGTCTAGTTTTAATGTCTATTTTATGTTGCAACTTAATTTCTATAATACCTTATGAATAAGGCAAATTTTCTTTGTTTGATCTTTGAAACAGATCTGACCATATAGCCTTGGCTGGCCTGAAATTCCTGATGTAGACCAGGCTAGTCTTGAACTCACAGAGATTTACCTGCCTCTGTTTCCCAAGCGCTGGGATTAAAAAGGTGTACCACACCTGGTTCTTGAATACCAGTTTAATTTAAGAGGGCTGGTGGGATGGCTCACTGGGTAAAGGCACTTGTTGTTAAGCCTGAAGAGCCGAGTTCAAACCCCAGAACCCACTTAGTGGAAAAGGACAGAGCCCCAAAAAACTGTCCTCTGACCTCCAGCTGCCACGCCAGATAAATAAATGAAACACAAAATTTTCGACATTATAACACAAGTACAAGGAATATGCAAAGTTTTAAAAGTAGATTACCCGTTTGTTTATATTTTGCCTCGTTTGCTTTCAAACCTGCCTCCTGCATATAATGCATTTGTTTTCCTGTATGAGAGAGTGAACAGGTGGCATTATAGTTGTTTCCTAGGTATTTCCTGCATGTTAAGCGCAAGGACATCCTTTTGTTGATGTGTTTTCCTTCTTCCTTCTTTGTTGAAGGAAAGGGGGCGGCATCTCCCTATATGGTCCAGGCTTATCCTGAATTCTCCATGTAGTCCAGCCTGTGTCAGACGCCTAGCAATCCTGCCATCTCCACCTCGCAAGAGCTAGAGTTGAAAGTGTGTGCCACCAACCCCAGTTTCTTTTTGTCTCTTGAATGTAAACAAATGGGCTTTAATCATAGATCTCCGTGTGCATGCATGCTGCATACAGTGCTGGGGGTGGATCCCCTGGGCCTCGCACATGGTAGGTGAACCAGGCCTCTGCCACAGATCTACACACCCAACCCTAGTCTCCTTAGGACACGGTGATTAACAGCATGGTTGTAATGATTATGATCAGCTATATCTTACAATAAACACTGCTGACGGACACAGGTGTGCGGGCAAGGTCGTATTATACAAATGTCTCCCTCTTCTGAGCTTCTCCTCACTGCTTCAAACTCCAGCTGATGCTCCTTGCCCTGTCTTTACTGGGGGGTCTTGTAACTCAAGGGAGTTAGTTCACCAACATGACTAATGAGTTTTCAAACTGTGAAGCTTTGTGCTTTCTTGGGATTATTTTCTTTCTTCCAACAAGATCTCACTGGATAACCTTAACTGACCTGGAACTTGCAATGGAGACCAGTCTGGCCAGCTTCCAACTCACAGAGATCCTCCTGTCTCTACCTCAGAAGTGCGGGGCTTAACGGTATGCGTCATCACGCTTCCCTAGCGGTAGTGTTCTTTCTTTTAAAATACGATTATTATTTTGTGTGTATGGTGTTTGCTTTCGTGTATGTTTGTGGAAGGCAGAAGAGGGTGTTGGGTCCCCTGGAGCTGTGTTGTGAGCTGCATATGGGTGCTGGGTATTGAACCCCCATCCTCTGGAAGATCAGTCAGCATTCTTAACCACTTAGCCATCTGTTCAGCCCTGTAGGTAGTTTTCTTACTCCCATTCTCCTGCCTTTTTTTTTTTTTTTTTTTTCTGGGTCGGGGAGAGAGGTGATTTAGAAAAGGTCTCCTACAGGCCAGTCTGGTTCTGGAACTTGCTATGTAGCTGAGGACGGCCCTGAATGATGCAGCTCCCAAGCGCTGGGATTCCAGGCAGGATCCACCAGGTCCTACTATTCTCTGGATAGTTATGGTCCATTCCAAATTACTAGACCAAGACCACACGCTGATTTGGATGCTTAAGGCTTCTCTTTCGGCAACAACTTGTGGGTCACACTTTAGAGCTGTCTGTCCCAATGTCATGAAGTCCCTGCTGGTCCTCCCCATGAGGCCAGGCCTACACTGTTTTAAGGATTTTCTCTCCTTCTGTCTCTTGGCCTTTCTATTCTTTTTTTAAGTGGAACAAGGACCAGGGAATGTTGAAACTTGAAGTTCCCAAAGTAGCCCCCATTTGCTCATTTGCTCACTAGCCAGGCAGAGGTGCTGGAGGAAAGCTGTGAGCCCCAGAGGCAGGAAACCTGTGGAGATTCATTCATTCAACAAACTTGTGTTGAGTTAGTTCCTTTTGATGCTAGGCCCCCTGTGGGTTGTAGAGACAGAGAGACGTGGCCTCCATCTTCCTAGAGTGAGGTCCCCTGCCCCCCTGCAAGGGAAATGCAGACAAGAATATACAAAACAATCTTAGAGAGGCTTAAGTGTTATGGGAACACAATGAGCCTAGAAGGAAAGATTGTCCTGTGTAGTAATGAAAAGCTTCCTTCTGCGACAGAAGTAAGGACACAGATCTAAGGGGAAAGGGACACCAAAGCACTCGTTCACCTTAAGGAAAATGTTTGAAGCATCTGAGGAACAGTAAAACGGAGAAGGGGTTGGAGTGAAGTCAGGGAGCTACAGAGTAGATTTGTGAAGGCCGAATGGAGCCAGCATGTGCTTGGCCTTGTAGTTCGTCATCGCAATCGTTCGTTCAGCTCATTCATTTAACATATTTATTTAGTATCTACTTTGGTGTTCACTATCTAAAGTATGGGGACAGACAACAAGCAGACAAGAAAGAAAATAAAGAAATATAAACGTCAGGTGCCTATTATGAATATTAATGTTTTCCCAATGGGACTTATGGCCGAGGTAGCCCTAATCTGCGGAGTAGTTCTTCTCTCCAGTTAGCATGAGAATCCAGGTAGTCGGGGGAACACGAATGCTTCTTCTTCCTCGAAGGGCCTCCTTTCCCTTCAAAATGGCTGACAAAGGCGAAGCTGGGTGAAGGCAGGAAGCAGTAACGGGGTCCCCAGCTGGTGACCTGCAAGGCCACAGCAGCGCCCTGGCCAGCCGTGCAGCGGAGGGGTGGTGGAAAAGCGGATGCAGGGTTGCTGTGTGACTACAGCGGGAGCTCTTCCCTCTCTGGGTCGGGCATCCAGACCTGCCAGTGTGTGCTTGCGTGTGCGTGTGTGCATCCGCTCGGGCGTGGGGGACAGCACGGGGGGGGTCTCAGGTGGAGTCCCCGTGGGATCGGATCATTCTCGTGGGTGACCCTCCAGACATAGGGGGCCCAGGGGCGGTGCCCGAGGAGGCGGGGCTAGGAGGCTCGGGAGGGTTTTCAAATCTCCCTCGCCCGTCCCCTTGGCCCGGCCGGCCGGTGAGTGGCTGCGGTGGGGGCGCCCCCGGGCGGGGGCGGGG